GAACGGAATTATGGTTTGGGCATGGATGCTCTGGTCACCGTATGCTCTTGGAACACGAATGGAATTATGGTTTGGGCATGGATGCTCTGGTCACCGTATGCTCTTGGAACACGAACGGAATTATGGTTTGAGCATGGATGCTCTGGTCACCGTATGCTCTTGGAACACGAACGGAATTATGGTTTGGGCATGGATGCTCTGGTCACCGTATGCTCTTGGAACATGAGCAGAGAACACGAACGGAATTATGGTTTGGGAATGGATGCTCTGGTCACGGTATGCTCTTGGAACACGAACGGAATTATTGTTTGGGCATGGATGCTCTGGTCACTGTATGCTCTTGGATTACGAACTCTAGTATGGTTTGGGTATGGATGCGCCTGTGATCGTATGCACGACATTATGGCTTGAACATGCCCCAATCCTGTAAGTACACATGCCCAGCATGTGTTCACTGGCATCCAAATGGCTGCCTGGAACACTCCGCAAATGATTTCCAAACCCTAAACAAGCTCTGAAACACCCAGGTTTTTTATTAACCTGTTGCCATTTTGGACGCTGCTTGCCAGGAAGGGTTTAAGAAGGCCCGCAGCTTAAGAAGGCCCAAAAAGCCAGCATCGGGAGGCAGTCCTGCCTCCAAAATGCGCTACCCCGTCCTCGCGCATTTTGGACACGGCTTGCCAAAGCTCCCAAGACCCAGCATCATGAGCGTCAGCCGGTCCTGCCTCCAAAATGCGCTACCCCGTCCCGAAACGCATTTTGCACACTGCTTGCGGCCCTAAGACCCAGCATCATGAGCGTCAGCCGGCCCTACCTCCAAGATGCCCACCCCCAGCGTCTCCCGCGTAATTCGGCGAGCTATCCTGTCGCGGCCCCCCCTGCTAGCACCGCTCCCTTCAGCCCTGCCTGGTGGCCGGCGACCCTAGCATACCCCTAGCGTACCTACCATATTGCGGCCCCCCCTGCTACCTAGCGTAGCTGTAGCGTACCTACCGTATCGCCCCCCCTGCTAGCACCGCCCCTTCCTCGCCTTCACGACCGCACCCCCAGCGTACCCCTAGCGTACCTACCGTATCGCGGCCCCCCCTGCTAGCACCGCCCCCTTCACCGCGCCCTTCACGACTGCACCCCTAGCGTACCTACCGTGCCTACTATATCGATGCCCCCCCTGCTAGCACCACCGCCTCCACGACCGTACCTCTAGCAGACCGCACCCCTAGCTTACCCCTAGCGTACCCCCAGCGTATCAGCGTTGCGCACTTCTCGCAAGTTCCCGAGTCTGTGTTTTTTGCTTGTCAAGGTCATGCATTTCTGTGTAGGCTTGGCCGCTGCTGCAGCGCGATGTTGGCTTTGACGACATTGTCAGCTTTTGCATGAGGGACCACACATGTTGATACTATCGTTGCCACCATCGGTTGCATGACTTTGTAAACTGGGCTGGGCACTGTGTTCAGGACCATTTTGTCACAGGCCTTGTCCAGACCCGGCACTGGACCTTGCGTTGTTGCGGCATTGATCCAGATTTAGTCAGATCCCCTAGCCTTCGCTACCAGCCGAAATGCCGGGGTGCACACAAATGAGGCCGAGGTCAATCAAAGCCCTGCCTAGCGTGGCCTCAATGGAGGCAAGAAGGCTAGGACTCTTTGAAGTACTTTAAGCACGTTTAAGATCCCAGCGGACGACTGACGGCTACCGCGCCCTGTTCCAGTCCAGAGAGAGGTTTGCACTTGACACGATGTGACTTGACAGGCTCACTCAAGCCTAAGGTCAGGATGGTCTCCAGGCGCTCCCAAGAGACCTTCTAAGCGCGTTGCAGCGAAGCAGCCAGAACTTTGGTGCGACTGAGGCGAAGGCCAGAGCTGCTTGCCAGGGTCCAGTGCTGCTGGAGCTTGGGCCAGACCCCGTCAGCCAGTTTACCTTTGAGAGATTTGACCCTGAAGCTTTGAAGCTCGGTGAGCTCCGTAACATGCTTCACGTGGCCTCATGGGGAAGAGTGCTCCGGGCTGCACAAACAGCAGCCCAGGCAATTGAAGCTGCCTGGTGGCGATGCACGTTCTCGGCTAAACGGCTAAAGCCCCTCAAAGCCCCCTGCCGTTGGATCTACGTAGGTGGAGTCGCCCTGTAATCGGTACCTGTCCCCCGCATGCACTGCAGAGCTTGAAAAAATGACAAGACGTTGAAACAGCGCACGCCAAGGCTCGTCGACCCAGGCTCTTCCTGGAGCCACAAACCAACGCAGTGTCCCGCGCAAGGACCTCACATCGGAGGTAATGACCAGGTAATGCACGGCAATTCTGGCATGAAAAAGCTTCCTATACTGGACGAATTCGAGAAGAGACCCTGAGGCATAGGTAGGGAAGAGAAGATGGCGCAACAGTTGCTTGTTATGACTCCCGGTGAGGGTCGGGGAGTCACCGAAAAATACTGCAAAAGGACCGCACTTCCACATGCCATGGAATCTCAACTAAGTTCCGTGCACTTCGCAGGTCGCCCTGCGTGGTCATCAACAGAGTCCGAGAAACAATGAGATTCAACCAGTAGGAAAGACAATGTGGCCTGCCCGCAAGGTGCCAGCTGGCTGCTCATGAGCTCATTGCTGCAAGCTTCAGCGCGAGCCTCAGACAGTTGTGTTGCTATGTTTAAAACTCGGTTCCCGACCGGTCTGCCACCTCTATCTGCCCGACCATGTGTGCCACCATCTTGCCAAACCTCAACAAAGCAAGAAATGTTCCGCTGAAACTATGCAAACATCGCTGCTGCTGGGCCACACTCTTTTTAAGCTGTCCATGCCCTCCTCTTCGGCTATGTTGCAGCGTATTGTCTGCAAGCCGCTTTCGCTTCCTTCCGACAGCCTCGTTCCCAAGTGATTTTGAAAGGTTCTACAGTGACTCATCCCCCAGCTTGGCTCCATGCCCATTCTCACCACTCCCGGAGAACACATTCTCCACTATCAGAGCACGCCTTCCGAGCGCTTTGTGCTGCTGACGGGTCTCTGTGGCGGCTGAGCGCCTTGGCGCTGAGAACTGTGCATCTGCAGAGATGCCTCAGAAACGTCACATAATGTCGCGTTCCTCATCTCACACCTTCTTCAGAACAGATCTGATCTGACTGGAAGGGGCCCCAGCACTTCCGAGCCATGGCTGCTGCCTCGCTGTCTGGCTCGTCCACCACGGCAACCACGAACTCAGCGAGTCAGGTCTTCTGAAGAAGTCCCATGAGTCTCGTGGCCAAGGATCAGGCGGTCGACGCATCTGGATCCGTGACTAAGTGAGGCAAGTTCGGCCCCAAAGTGGACATGGTGTCCCATATGTAGACCTGCCACTGTCTAAGCAAGCTCTTTGCAAACAATTTACTCCATTTTATTTCATTATGGGGATGCTCCGCCCAGCACTGCGAAGACCGTGATCTACTGTAGGGTCCAACCAAATGTAGAGTTGGTTTGCACACAGCAAACACATTTCTTGCCCGTCCCGCCCCCCTACCTGTCACCTGTCACTGCTGTTTCTCAGAAGCTGAGTCATGAAAACAGAGTCTGCTGTTCATCTTAAGGTTAGCTGCGTTCAGGACGCTCTAAGGTTGTGCATTCCAAAGACGTTCTACAGTGAAACATAAAGGGAGATGTTCAGGGGTGGCGCTTGTGGGGACTGGGCAAGTCAGGAACATTCTGGGCATGCACTTCACGGCTGGGCATCGTGGACACTGTCTAGAGTACACTCGGACTCTCTACGTTGGGCTGAGGAAATCTTCCAACAGCTGGACACTCAAAGCTCTCGGAGCCTGGACAGCCGGCTTCGCACCAGAACTGGGCCAATGCCCGCGTACCTGGCTAGTGATGCTGTCGATGTGCCCCTTCATTTTCTGAGGATTTCTGTCCTGTGTTACCTCTGATCAAATTTCGCTGGAGATGCCAATCGCAACCAAGCGCCAGCTTCCTGGACATGTCTTGGCTCTGCAGCAGACTGCTGACCAAAGCCAAGCTGCCAACCTTCTGGCAACCTTAGACTCCCACCTCCTCATAGCTGATGTCCAAGTACTCCGCCAAGACCCGCGCCACAGTGCTCTTGCCCACCTCAGCTACATCCAGAGAGTGCAGAGAGTCCAGAGCAACACGTCGCCTGAGGAGCCTGGCCCTAGGCGCCCCCATGACAACTACACGAAGTGCCGGCAGCTGCGATGCCTGAATGGTCCAGCACAAGCAGTTCTGGTCATACTTTGCATTTTCCTTGCCTCTTCCTGCAGCTGGTAGCTGCCTGTGCGGATGGCCGTAGGACTCCAGGCTCCGGCCTAAGTCCGCAAGAGGGTGCAAGGCCCAAAGCATAGGAGGAGCTGAGGGCCTTCATGTAATCCGCAGCATTTGCCACCGCTGGCGCTTCATGGGCCTCCACAAACTTCAACCAATGGAATTGACGCATGATGACGCGTGATCTGAACCATGACCTCATGCCCGAATGAAGGCCAGGGCTGCAAGTAGAGCTCCTGCAGAAGAGCAGCACCGCAACGCATCCGCAAACTACAGCCAAATCAGCACCATCCAACTGCTCAAAGCACCTGCCTTTGCAAAGGGAAAGGTGAAGTCTTGTTTTTTCCCATTCCGACCTCAAGATGTCTCGACGTGAAGTCCCGCAATCCCGGCATGCAAACGCTCTGACACTTGCCTTCAGAAGCTGCTGGCCAATGAACCTGCAGCTTCAGGACAGCCGTCCCTCTACAACAGACAGAAGCTGGCATGCACGTGCAAAAGCGCTCGGTCGCGAACGGAAGCACCGTACCTGCGCGTGTCTGTCTTCAAGCACAGCGCAAGAGCAGTGCTTAACAGTCGCCAGCCCAGCGCACGCTAGATGGCCGCCGCCCTTCTCCACATGCTCTGCCCTCCTGCCAAACTGTCCATCAGAGCTCATTTGTGCTTTGCGGGGGCTTGACATACTGATTCCCTTGATGCGCCTGCTCTCGGGCAGGATGTCCGCCAACAGCGTCGGCAGCGGATGAACGCAATCTGCACAAGCACAAGGAAAGTGCACCCACAGGAAGCGGTTAGCGAGAACACAGGCAAAGCATGAAACCAAAGTGCACAAGAAGGCGTACGCCGCAGCCTTGACAAGCACGAGGCCATTGGCCATGCTGGAGTAGCAAGGAGACAGTGGCAGGCGAGGGCGTGAGCAGGAGATGAGAGCGGGGACAGGAGACGATTCATTTACTCGGCTTAGGCATGCAGTATTTGAAAGCGGCGCAAATTTTGGCCAGTGAGGAATGGATTCCGACAGACAGATCCGGACCGGCAGACAACATTCGAAGTGTCGAGAGTGCCCAACCAAGTCAGGGAACGCGGTCCATGCTTGGACCGAACCCAACAGGACGCGAAAAAGTCGAAAACGCAGGGAAGGGTGCGCAACTGAGGCAGCACTAGGTTACATTTATGACAATCAAAAGCCAGGCCAAGTAAGCTTCGTGGCATGCCTTCCTCGCTGCACAATCGCCTTGTCAGCGCCTGCACCTGCAAGAGCTTAATAATCAACAACTCACCTAGCGACTGCAGCATCTGCAGCCTAGGAGACTGGGTTGCTAACATCCGATGGCAAAGCCGGTGTCACTTTGGACAGAAAGACTTCGTCTGGCCGAAAGCCGCGCTGTAGTAGGCACCTGTAGCACAGTACTGGTAACGGGCAGCTTCTGTTGGGCTTCTTAGAGAGAGCGATAGCATGCGACAGCGCGGAGCGGAGAGAGCTGAGGACCCAACTCCACCATCAGCCGCGCCGGGGCCCAGGGGTCATCTCCGCCCGCCCTTTTCGGACCCAATTCTCACTTCAAATCTTCAGGACTGGATGCTGGCCTTCTTAGCCAGGGAAGGGGCAAAAGCCCCGGCCGAAGCTCCAGCGGGACCTGTCGAATCCAAGACGAGGCTTTGGAAGGTTTAGGGGCACTTTCAGAAGAACACGAATGGGGGCGCCCGATGCATGGGCGTTGGAAGCTGCGCTGCCAGCGGATGCAGGCAGTCACCTGGCAGACTTCAGTCTCTTTGAAATAGGCACCTCCTCGTTATCCCGTAGGCCTACAGGCATGCTGCAGGTGGAGTAGAGGCATTCATCAGGATGCGGTCCCGGCACATGAGCTCGCAAGCCAGTCAGCGCAACCTGTACCGGAACAGTTGGCACAAAGGAGCACACACAGCGGGCATCTGCAAAATGTTTACTCCTAGACTCTAAATTGGTCCGTTATGGACAAACAGAACTTTATTTCTACAGTAGACCTCTGCTTGTCACATTTACTTCCCGTCAAATACGAAGGAATTGGCAGCCGTTAGAGTCAACCGGCCTCCTCCACATTCCGTCGCTGCAAGCCACTGGCAAAGCGCCGCAGGGACTCCACGAGAACAAAAGTGGCTCGCGTGGCATGGCCTCTTGTGTCAACTTTGTTTATGCTTTCCCTCGCATTTCTGTTTGATTTCCTGCCGTTTTACCGAGTAAGACAAAATGACTCGGCAAGGGCCGTGATGCCTGCAGGCTTCTCCTCCGCCTCAGGGCTTGGCCTCAGCAAACTTTGTTGTCAAGCTCTGCATCATGACGCCCCATACAATTCCTTGGGACATCACAAAGTAGAAGTGCGGTCTCTCTTGCCCGGGCCTAGGAGCCAAGCATGCTTTCAGCACGACAAGAACCGCCATGAAAGGGCAAAGTGCACTTTGATGTGAGGGCGTTGCTGGCGGCTCCCAGGGCCATCTCCACGTTTATGCAGGCGGCACTCTTCAGCACCTGTCAAGTTCAGACGTGCGCACGGCACTTATCATCCACATGAACCCCGCTGCAGAGCAGATGAGCTGAGGGTCCAAACTTCGCATGCGAGTTCATACTCGCAGCATCTCACTGCCAGCCTGTTGAGATTGGTCTGAGTCAAGCGAGTTGCCAGCGGATCAATGTGCTTGCATTTGGGTCAGTGCTGCCAAGAAGCAACAAAGGGCCACACGCATGGCCGTTGCTATCACCTAGTTCGGGTTCAGGTTCAAAGCGACGGCTCACTAGCCAGAGTTGGAGTTGGGACTCGGGACAAGGCCTGTCGGTGTAGCATGCGGATCACCTGACAGCCAGGCTGTAGCCTAGGTGAACATTCTGGTCGAGCTGCTCTTGCCTGCAGCGCGGAGCAGGAGACGCACGAGCTTCACGGAACGGCTAGCCGCTGCCAGAAGCAGCGGTTGCACAAACGCTGTGAGCCTGGAGTGATTCTTTCTTTCAAAGATCCGGTAGTACTGTTTGCTTGAAACTTGACTCTACCCTGAGGCACACGCCCGGATTCCCCTGTCAATGCTGTCGCGCGCACCCGACCCCGACGCAGGAGCTGCGTCACCAACTCTTCGCAACCTGCCTCAGGTCAAATCCATATTGGCCTTCTTGCAGCTCTGGCAATGCTGGCTGAATGGCAAAGTGATGATAGCTTCCAGCTCCACATGGGTCGAAGAACGATTGAAGCACTGGGAGCTGCGCCCAGCATGCCCAGTCCAGGACAGACTTGCCTGCAATGTCTTATGCGCCCTCTTGCCATCGACTTGCAGGCAAAAGAAATTGACAGCGTCAAGACGCAGGGAGAACTCCGCCCCTCTAATCAGCACCTTCTCAGCTATTTGCAGATTAGATTTTGGCGGCACGGCCAGCTGCCTCCAATAGATTTGAGCTTGTCTTCTGCTAAAATGGTACACTGGACAAAATTTCAGCTTCTACTACTGAAGCCGAACATTCAGATACAGATTCCTATTTGCATTATTGTATACTACATTCCGGTTTCTGACCTGCCGTTGCCTGATGCATCTCGGTGATTTGGGTCTGCGTGCCGCTCGGTCAGCCACGCCAGGACCTGTGCAAGGCCGGGAAACATGGGCGGCCTGCGCCTCCTTCGCCCATCCTTGCCTGTGACTGGCCAGGCAGGGGATTGGCGTAAACGCCCCGCGCCGCCCACAACATGAGATCATTGACTGCAGCACCTGCCAGGTCATCTTCGTTTATCAGCTCCTTGTATGTTTTAGCATGTGCTCTACTTGTGTCCTTAAGTTCTGCTGAACACAGAAGACCTTACAGGCAAACATGCAGACTATGTACCTCGAAACGGCCCGGCTCCTTCTGCAAGTACTTCCAGAAGCCTGCGAGGCTAGAAGTGGGCCAGTACTCCCGCATGAGAGGAGTCAAAGTTGAGGTGCAGACTCCACAGAACCCACCCAGGCCGCCAAAGGCAAGCAACTGCAGCAAGTCGCAGCAATCCCCAATGCACAGCAACTGCTGCCAATCCTGTACATTTATTGAGCACACATGCAGCGGCCAGTAGGTCCCCCACCAGCGATGAACAGGGAAACCCATCATGAGCAGCACTTGCAATGTCCCAGCAAAAAAGCGAAAGACCTCAACAAGGTCACTGGCATCCTCATGTGAGCACAAGCATTGTGCATGTACCTGCATCTCGGCTGTTTGACCCTCTCACTGCTTCCTGTCTGATGACACCATGCCTCGGAAACGTCGGTCGGGCAGTCTCTGGACTTTGAGCTTTGCCTAAGCAGACAATTCTGGCCCATCGCCGCAAACTAGCTTCAAGCTGAAGCAAAGGCTGGTCCCACAGCACACGGCGTCCCAGAATGACAGCTAGCCTCACAGAAGTGCAGCAGAACACGCGGGCATCAAGAGGTTTTCCGCTTTCCTACATGGGCACAGCGCTGTCAAGAGATCCAACCTCTGAGCTACTTACTAAGTTCACGCCCTGGCAGTGTGTGAAGGCATCTTCTGCTTTTTTGGCTTGCAAGCAATCTCAGCCATGTTCGGCGAGCATGCGTTAACATCATCAAGCGCTCTGCGCTTGTGCAACTCGAGGCAGAACGAAAAGGCGGGAAGGGGGGGAAAGGGCATCTACGAACCTCAGCGGGAAGCTTCTGCCTCGGCGACCTGGTGCTCGACGTACCTTCAGGTGGCAAAGAACTCTTACATGGATTTCAGTCCGTGAGGCAAGACTTTGTCCGCAGGGCTGCTGGTGACTGCTAGTGACGGGCAGGGCAAGGAGGGCCTGCCTGGCCTCTGGTACAAATGCTCGGCCGTCAAATGTCCCAAGTTTTGCTGAGACGAGAACTCCGCAATCTCCCGAATCTGAGCATCATCCCATCCTCGCTCAGCGCCATTGCCTATAGGAATAGTGTCCAGCCATTGGCGAATCTTGCCCTCCGCCTCCTGCGCGCACGCTGGTTTTAAAAACTGAAGGGGTCGAAAGCGTAGGGTGGGTCCAACTTACCGTAGCTTGAATGAAAAGGAAGAAACATAGATTTGAGCGGCTTGACCCTGACCCACCTGCACAGCCTGCCCTTTTGGCGGAAGCTGCACAGTTGCAGCATGCTGGAAGGGAGGTGGAGCTGCAGACGTCCGGTTGATTGAGGGGCTGCGGCTGGAGACTGGCATGAAAGGCGGAGGCGCTGGGGAGAAGCGCCCTTCCCAGCTGAGCGCGGTGCCGGAGAATAAGGACAAGTTCGTTCGCGGTGTCGAGCCACCTGCAGAAAGCACTGCTAGCTAAACCCCAAGTCTTGAAAAGGTGGGCAGCCGGGCAGCCGTGCCTGGAGTCTTGAAGCCGTTGAGGTGTCTGTTAGCATTCTGGGCCAATGACTCGTTGCAGGGTGCTGCCACGAAGCCAGGAGTAACCAAACTCGTGATTGGCAAGAAGAGGCCGGGAGGAGGTGTCAGGCCGCCAGAGGGTGGGCTGGTAAACGAGTTAGTCTGGGAGCCCAACGCTGAGCCTGGGAGCGAGCCTCAAGCCATCTTCAGAATTTACTTCAAAAACATGCCAAACTGGACTCATTGCCGAGCAAAACATACCTCGCCTACTGTCCTAGGATCATGGTAGAAAGACATGACTGACTAATTCACGTCTGAGACCCGGTGTGCGTAGCCGGGAGGTAGTCACAGGAGTTGTGGAGCGAGATGCTTGCGATGGCCGCCGCACCACTGCGTAACCAGGTGATACCGCCTGAATTGCGGGTGGTGCCACTTGCATGTGGGACGGCGGCATTTGTGTCTTGGCTGCACTGGGGCTGCGATTCCGCGCAGCATCCAAGAGAGATTTCGCCACAGCCTTCACGGAAGCCTCTGCAGCTGCTTCTGCCGACAATGTGCTTGGAGCTCTTGCTGGCACGGTTGGCTGTACGCGAACCGGAGGACTGAAAACGCCTCGCGTGCGAAACTCATCCAGCAGCTTTTCCAGCTGTCCCAGGCGCTCTGTGAGATCCACCAGCTTCTCGCCCAAAGATTGCGGGGTCCGGCTCGACAAAGGAGCACGGCGTGTGCCAAGGATAGCTTCGACTTTGGCAGATACCGAGTTCACCTTCTCCAGCAGAGCCTGGCCGATCGGCCCAGATGAGGTGATAGCAGCAGAGACGCCGTTCTCCCGAGCATCACGTACAGATTCAGGCCGGGCAGCGCTCGTCACGCAGTGCGCACCAGCTGGAGGGCCATGATGGCTGTGGCTCCCGTGGCTCGATCTTCCAAGACTCCTCCTGGGGAGGTGCAACGGGTGCGATTCAGCTACACCCAGCGCCGTAAAGCGAGCTGCAGGGAGCGTAGCGCGCATCCGTCTGATGATAATGCACAACGATATGAAAATCTTCTTTTCTTGCTATGACTAATAAACTACATGTGTCCTTTAACTTTGTGGCCACGATATGTTTGCGCATGCAACGAAGCCCTGCTTGCAGGGGGAAGCTGTAACAAACAACGGCGATGCACAAGAATAGTACTTTGACCTCTCAGCGAAGGTATTGCCGGAAGCGACACAAGGCTCTTGCAGAGTTGACAGCAACGTGATGCCGGCAAGCGGGTCACCTTTCGCATATCTGCTTCGGCACACCGGCTTCAAGCATACTGCGAGCAGACTCAACACAAAAATCGCATTTGGCAATCAACTTGCCCAAAGCCCCTCACCGGGACCAGCTTCATGGATGAGCCCTGCCAAACCTCTCCAGGCAATCTCAAAGAGTTCCATAGATGACCCTTGGCAGTCCCCAGGATTCCAGCCATGCTCCTGAGTAGCTGCGAGCAGTTCGCTTCCTGAACATGAGCAGCAGCTACCCCACTCCACACCTTGCAATGATAGGAGTGGAATCTGAGTGCGCAACGTTGCGCTGCGCGCTCTGGAATCTTAGCTCCCTTCGCTTTGACACCTACGAATCTGTTGTTTGCGTCATGAGAAAAATCCGTCAGTCCGTGCCGAGCCTGAGAGCACTAAAGCAGTTGCGGTAAGCAAGGCCCCCAAAGCAAGCAGCACTGGAGGAGCCTTGCATATGGAGAAACACGGAACTTTGACTTTGACATGCATCCTGTTCCAGGATTGCTGCAACGACAGAAATGGGGCCTGCTCCAGTGGCGCCAGCGACAGAGGCTGAGCCTTTGAAACTAGTCACGCAGGACACGTTGACGACAACATGACTGGAACTCCTGGAGCCGCGAATCTGTACATCTGAGAGTTCTCATTTGCAGACTCTTGGTTCCCGCGCATTGCCAGACACGTGCCGCCGACCCATTGGGACTGGGAGTGCGTTGGCGGCCTCCCGGACATGCTTGCAGGAGCTGCCCTGTGGGCTCCTGAGATCTCATCAGCTAAACAACGCAACAATTACCCGTAAAGTGACAATATCAGACACACCCCTCCAACCCATGCTTCACGATCCCGCAGAAGGGACTCTGTGCCCTGTGCAACAGCCAACTGCCTTGCTAAAAACTCCTGTAAACTCTGCTGACAATGATTTTTCCATTGGCCCCTCTGCTCTCTCTATAACACTCACTATAACATGACGGGATTCGGACCTGTGGACGCTTTGCAGCAGGCATGGACGCCTGAATTTTCACAACTCGTGTGAACTACCTAGTCTGAAAGGAGGAGTGAAGAGATGCATGCTTCTCGCGGACATCCCTGAAAGAGGATTTGATCTGGAATGGAAAATGTATCTAGGGGTGGTGATGGCGAATCACGTTTAAACCTTCATCAGAAACACCTTCACCTTCCTCAAGCCTCAAGCCTGTGCCTGCTGAATCCTCTTTGCCTGCCTTCTGAAGGGCAGGTCTCATTCTACGAGTGCGCCAGCAAATGTCAAACATTGAGCTTGCGGCCACCAAGTTAACGAAGTTGTAGAGATTGTGCAACCCGACCACAAAGCCATCGACCTGAATTCAACCATCTCAGCACCCATGACTCAAAGAGCTGGGACAAAGCTGCTTTCAGGTTCTTTGGCTGGGTGCCTCGCCAAGCCACCGTTCTCTAAATGACAGGCTGCCTCGAACTGCGGCAAGCACAACGGTGGCTCCACGGCATCCACTCCTGCAGACAGCTACTTAAAGAGTTACTGCAAAGCCGCAGCCAACACAAGGCCAACATGCGTTGGATACTTTAAAGATCCTCTCAGCAGGAGCGGTGGCAACGATACATGCGCACGAAGCGCTGCCAGGTCATAGCCACTTCGCACCTCGAATTGGCAAATCTGCACGAGCCTCTGATCGAAAATCAACCTCGACTCTCGGCCCCGTGCTAAAACTGCGAAGTAGGCGAGGGCTGACTGCTGGGAGCCTGCATGCACCCATCTCTCAAGATTCTTTTGTTGACCGGGCCCCAAACCTGTGTAAGGCCGCTGAAGCTTTGGTGAAGGCATCGAGCACCAGCGCAAAAACTCCATGAGCGGGACTTCCTGTCAACGAGTCTGGCCAAACCACAGCTTGGCTGATCAGGAATTCGAGCCTGGCCACTGGCCATGCGCAAGGGCAAGTTCAGCCGCACAAACGTTCCCTCTTCACCTTGGAGCTTGGCACACGCAGCTGAAAAGACTGAACAAACACTCAATCCTTGCTTGATCGCTGAGCGTGTTGCGGACCGCAGGACTTTTGGCCGCTGTGGTGCTTCGCCTCGAGACGCGTATGTTTCAAGTTCAAGGCGAAACTGAGACCACAGCTGCTGTACACTACACATCAACCCACATACACATCATCTTCAGGTTCATCGGGCCCGGGCTCCAAGGCATTTTTCCAGGCCCCGGCTGCTGCATGTGTTCCAAGTCCCGCACTTTGGAAAGCCTGCGCCCATGACCTCTTCAATCGGAGAGACCCTGCGCACGGGGCACATACTCATTCGCGCCATGCTTCCTGGGACAGCTCTAGTTGGCCGGTTCTCCTCGAGAAGCTGGTGTCGCCCTCACGCAAACGGTGGTCAATCACAGAGCCGCAATTGAAGCTGGCGAAGATGTCCCAGGGACCTTACACTGCTGACCGTCACAAAGACTGTCTCTTTTTCACGCAATGAAGCTCAATGTCAGCAGGCAGCAGCGTGACTAAGATTGTCACTGTGCGAGGCGCACATTGGCACTGTCTTTACCTGCCCCCAGCAGCAGAGGGAACCATCGAACTCCAGCACTGAGCACCACCTCGCACCCAGAGTGCTTGTCCAAGTTCTGCTGATGAAAAACACATTGCCAGCTGCTGAGGCTGCTACTCAGCTGGGCCGTTTCCACCATGTCCTTGAGGCTTGAGACAGGTATGCTGACTTTAACGGTACTCACGCAGTTCCAAAAAGGCTGCCTTCGTCGAAGCTACCGACTCGTCGCCCAGGAGAGCCACGGGCAAAAGCTTCCTGGCTTTGCATAGCTTTGCCGCACCATTTCCACACATCGGAACCAAAGGCGCGTTATGGCTTGTTATGATATGTTGATTTTACACATCCGTAAAGCCAACTGGTGAAAGACTTAACAACTGCGCTGCACCAGCGTCGCCTCTGTACGTCCAAGCAACAACGCGACTGGACGATCATCTTTCTTCGCACGCGGCACCTCCATGGTGGCGAAGACACCTTTAGTCCGCTTCGCACGATATTAGCCGGGAAATCTCAAGGCATCTCAAGGCGCTGGCTGTTGTCGGTGATGCTATCCACCAGTAATAGCCGCACAGGCTGCCGCGAGTCCACAGCGACCTGCATCTGGCCAGATGGCATGGGACAAGTCTGCCAGCAGTTTCATAAGTCTTGTGCCGTCCAGCTGTTGTCTCTCTGATTGGGAGCAGCAGCACCTGGCAATCGAGGCATGCCAATTCACAGCCTCCTTCTCCACTTGGGTCAAGGAATCAATTACGGTCATCCTGAAAGGACCAATTCGCGACGAGCCGCCCAAGTTGCACACCCACCATAGGCCCTCTGGGGCGACTATGTCGATGCGCACCCTGACAATCTTGCACTGCTTTTTGCAACTGCGACTAAGCGGACATTGACGCTGTGGCTCCCGGCTTTAGGTTGGAAGGTGGAGGAGGCAAGCCACCTCCAGGGCCGTCCAGGTGCTTTGATTCGTTTGCCACGCAGTGGATTTCTGGGCCCCGAGCGGAAAATATTGGTGCCAAATCCGTGCCTAAGGGAAGCTGCTCTGAACATGATATCTTTCATGGTGGACATCTCGAGGGTTGAACTGGCCATGCAAATGGAGCTGCTCCATTGGAGTGAGCTCCCGCACCTGCTCAGCTTGTCTTTTGTCTGTGCATCTTGTTCTTCAACACACCGGGCCTGCCACGACAGATTCGACCTGCTGTTGCCGATCAATCGCCCATGCAAGCGCATAACATGAAACGAGTGCAATGCTCCCTGAAGCTACGCAAAAGAGGCCTGGGGCTTCTTGCCGGCAGGGAACCTGTCAATCTAGCATTTGCATCCGCCACTGCTTCAAGCAACTTGATCACTTGACCCGAGACACATCTAAACTCGAGAGAACAATTGATAATAGGCCTTCTTCTGCATAACAGTTGATGGATGTCTCCGTCTTCATCTCGGTTTGCGCCATGAGCCTCAGAAGAAGTTGCCAACCAAACCTTCTGAAACTTTGTGAAACTTCGCAGAGGCTTCGGCCGAAAGTTCACCAGCTTGTCAGCCGGATAAGAGAGCTCGATCAAACCAAGCGTTGTGGCATCCTCACAACAAAAGCGAAAGAAAGCGTTCAAAGCGTTTAACGTGCGTTAACGTTTAGTCATGTGCGGAGTCACGCAATCTTGCAGCATAGGCCATATCCTCTGCCGTCAGCGATGGCAACGAACGTCGCCAGGCAAAAGTACTTTGAGGACCATTGAACTTTTTCTTATACAGCCGGATATACTCCTCAACACATTCTGTCTGCAGCTGCCTCGCTCGAAGGTAAGTCAACTGGACATTGCCTAACGTCACATTGTCCTTGCAGTTGATTCGCATGCGGATCGCATCTTGCAGCCCATAGGCATTCCTCGGTGCTACCTATGGTACCACAACACGAGGCAACAGAAGACAGGCTTCTGACACGGCCCGCTTGCAGCTGTGAATCGACTGTATCCGCCGCTTCAGGGCAACAAAGCTGCGAATTACGTGCCTGACCCCAGCGGAGCTTTCAAACAACCAGGAAGGTTATGATAATGCTGCCAAGAAGCCATCTGCCACGCCCATTGGCAGGCTTGCCATGCCTGGGCTGCGTCTGAATACTACCGTCATAGGATTGGCTGAAACCTGCGTGACTTTGGCAACCCTATTGCTGCAACAATAATCTAAAGCTCTTAGCTTCCGACAGCGCATGCAGGAACGGCCACATTTGGAAGTCCAGCGTCCGTCGGACCTCATTTCATTCCCAAGAAATGTCTGGCATCTGAGTTCTGGCACTCAATTGTTTTTTCTATGTGCTAAGCCCAAAACAAGCCAACGCATGCCTTCGACAATGTTGGCCTGGGTGGTGCTGAAAAAGCTGACAAACCATATCGTCGACGTGGGGATTCAAACCGAAAACAAGGTCGATGCTGTGAAACGAAGACGAGAAAGATTCTGCAAGCAAAGGGCAACCTGCAGGAAGGAACACAATTGAGTTTTGCGTCGCCTGTGCCTTGAATGCACCTCCAGCGTCAAGCAATTCTCCACGTGGCAATCCGTGTACAAAGCCTGGGACCTCAGCGACAGCAGCCTTTGTATGTGCTTCAAACGAATACTTATCACCTACAACATGTAATCTTGCCGAATGGCTTGAGGTCCACCTTGATGGAAATGTCTGTGGATGGCATCAACCTTCCAAACTTGTTTGGTTCATGCGCACGCATGCTTGACGATTGCTTCGCAATCTTTCATGAAGTGACGCACTGCTGGCAACGTTGAGCAAAAGACTGCTGACAAGCTGGAAGTGCCAAATGCGCTTGCCGTGTGCCAGTCATGGCACGTACAAACCTTGCTGTCTCAATCTAGGCACAGGCATCCACTCATCTCAGCAACATTTCAAAGCTCACACAGAATCCAGCACTAGACTGTAAGGCTGGCGCTCAACCTGCGAAAGCTTCTGGAAAGTTCCAAATTCACCTTTGATTGTTTATTTCTCATGCTAATTGTAGAATCAATTCAAAAACACAAACATCGGAGACGCTGGTGTGGTTGTAAAAGGTCGGCACTTGATCTAGTGGATTGGTACACATCCCAAGGGACATGGACCTGCGGCGTACCTGGCATGTCGCTTGCTTCGTCCCGACAACTTGCTCGTCAGTAAGCAAGCATATGCTGGCCTGCCAATTCTTGGTACAACTGCAATCCACGAAGATGAACGTTTTCCGCAAGGAGAAGTTCAAATTTGCGAACCTCCTGGCATGTTGCAAAAATAGTGGAGCGCCAAAACTGCAATTAAAGCTCACACGCTCCTCGCTATTCTGATGGACTTCCGGCACCACCTCAGAACTAGACTTTCACATTAATGTCAGACTCAAACGCAATGGCGGGAGCAAAAGCTGAGCACAATGCAGGCGCCACATCACAAGTGGAAACCAACAATCCAAATGCCATTGGAGGGCCTCGGCAGGACAATTGTTTCTGAAATTTTGTGGACCGCCCCGCCCCCCCCCCTTCCCCACAATGTGCATCTGCTATCTCTCGGTGTGCCGTATGCACTCCCATCACTCCTCAAGCTGACTGGCAATCTCTCACAAGAAGAATACCAAATTTGACAGTATTCCAGTATCGCACAACTAGTGGGAAATGTGGAAAATGCTGCGAATCGACAGTTCCGACAATTCAGGAAACCTGAAGAAAATGAGCGAGCCGTGTAAGTATGCCATCGATCAAGAACCCAAAAAGCCACTTCAAACGTCTGACAGAGACGTCTGGGAAATCTTGGGGGGACAATGACAATAATGACGAAGGCTGCACTCAAAATTACGGATCACTTGCCTGCAAGGCTGTCGTTGAGCTCGCCTTCGACTTCCAGTCGTACATGCACATGTTTTACCTGGACCCAGCGCAAATGCAGCTGCTTTTCACGCAAGGCTGCTCAGGCCATGGCTGTGATTTTTATTCGTGACAAATAATCTGCGAAAAGTTTTCGAAACCTGGCAGGCTCAATCAGAAGATGACTGCTTTCAGGCTTCGCTGGCAAACAAGGCAGCTATACATTTCTCGCTCTAAGGTCCGCCGCTGGGTTTGGCTCCGCATGTGGACAAACCTTGGGCGATGGATGTTCGTGTAGCAGTCAGTTGCGGCGACCAAACAAGCTTAGCCCGATGCTCCAAGCGCTCCATTTCGTTCGTGCGGTGCTGATACACCTGGTGCCAGCTCCATCAAGTTGCATGAAGCTGCCCAAGGTCACGCTCACCGTGAAGCGTGGCAATGACCATGCCAGCCTCCTCTCGGCTAAGCCATCTGCAGGCTGGAGCAAACACCAGCGCCAGCCTCGTGCTGCTGCCCTCTACGCTCTCCAAGCAACTAAGCTGACCTAAACCAAGCCAGCCACCCGTCCACGATGATTTCAAGCTCACCCTGCATGATGGACCTCAAGCTTAAGGATTGCGATCTTTGATAGCTGGGTTCAGTTGGAGCGATTCTTGTACCACTGCTGCTGGGTTGCAGCTGCAGCATGGCTGATGAGAGGGTCCCAGCCTGGCTTTCAGCAGGGTGCTTTTGAATTGTTTGAAATCGCATTGCAATCGCACTTTAGCTCAAAAGCGACTTCGCAATGTCATGATGTCTCAAGCCTTGAGAACGAATGGCAGGTCACTGCCGAGCATCAGCTCATCGACAGGCTCGGGGTTCAGCGCCTTCACCAAACTTCAATGCCAGATGTGGTGACATGTCGCAGGATCATAAGTCCGGTACCAAGTTACGAAGTTCCAAAAAACCACTAAGGAGGCCTGCCGGAGCAAAAGGGCAGACAGCGGTGGCCAGCTATCAAAATTGCTCCGTGCCTAGATTCAGGTGCTCCGCGTTGAAGCCATGGATAAACTTCTTGGCCTGTCCTTGCAGCAGGTCAGCCTCAGTTCCAAGTTCAAGCCACCAACATAGCCAGGCTCGATATCCTATATGCTTCATGCGGCTGCATCAGAACTGAGATCCCGACCAGCCGGCTCTCAAGCACCATCGCTGGCCTGGGAAAGCGCACAAGCAAGCGTGCTCGACTTTGCAGCTTGGAGTCGGGAGCCTAAGGCCCCAGCGATTCGCCGAGTCCAAAACCCACCCCTTCACCCCACTTGCGGGGTCCCCCGGCCCCGGCGGTTTGGCCGCCCGGCCCGGCGGATGCCGGGCCGCTTGGAGCCAGAAATTGCCAAAAGGCATCGAATACAGGCACAACGTATCGAAACATCAAACAGAGGAGGTGTATTATGGCATATTGTAGTTTAAACCAATGTGAATTCTCCGGATCCCATTTCTCGTCCAGATGAGATGTGAGGCTCTCAGGTGTACAAAGGCAAGCCAGCCACAGATGCCAAGGAGCTTAATTTCTTCTACGGTGGCTCAGTTGTTCACCGGAGGCTTTCGCGTGTCGTAGGAAAAGATCGTCCTGCTGAAGTGAAAGGGCTGCGACCCAAACGCGGCTGTTGCTGGGCCCTGCTGGGCCTGCTGCCGAGCCTGAGCTCCGCATCTGCCTGAGATCGCTTGTGATTGCGCATCCCTTATGTGAGGGCCCAGGCATCGGGGAAGCGGCCCAGTCAGATGCGCCCGCTTTCCGGAGCATGTCCGCAATCTGCCCAGGCAGAGCTCAAACTGTCCCGGCCATCATGTCACTAGGGTCCTACATGGGACAAGATATTAGGAGTCGGATTTAAATTATGAAAGTCAGCAATGGTATCAGGTATGGATAGAGCGGATGGAAAGCATTATGCGACAGGGTAGCCCCATGAAATAAACAAGTCACGGCACGGCAAAAGCCCGGTTCCCTCATGTAAACATACCTAGTCGCTGGACTGGAATAGGATACAGGTGTGATGCCACCTTGCTTCTGATATCTGTTCCTGAAATACTCGCAAGTTCAGACTGAGGCCAAGGCCTCCCGAGCACCCAGATTTGTTGCCAGTGCGAGCGCGCACGTGCCATCCGGCGCCTGTTAAAAGAAAAGTGTGGAAGAGAAAGGAGACCGGGACCAGGACCAGCCAACCTTGCAGTCGACATCTGGGGGCGGCCAGGCAGCCTTCAGCATCAAGCTCACCTAGCCAGTTTTGGAAGCTGAAGCGCAAAAGAAAGAAGAAACAAGAGGACCGACCAGGTCCGTCCGCTTGCTCTGGATCACGATGATGAACGGCGTGGCTTGATGCGAGCCGTTGTCACGGTGATTGACATCAGCACCGCCTTCGCCGGAGGGAAACTTCAAAATGCAGACAACACGACTTGGACGCAGAGGCGTATTCACGTAAGCCTCGTAGCAGCGCTGACACACATGCCAAACAACCACCGCCGGGGGCAGTCCTTGGGAAGGGGTGAGGTTTTGGACGCGAGGTTCCTGTGATCGCTTTGCCATCGCTTCCAACATTGCAAGGCATTGGCAGCAGGTGATGATGCAGAGCTGTGAGCCCCTTCAAGTCCTCGCACAAATTCTCGCACCACTCGTCTCAGGCTTGACGGTAGCTCAGCGCTTAGCCCGTCCTCAGCACAGGGATCCGCTCCCACCGCCAGGAGCGTGGATACGTCATGGGCGGGATCGTTCTTGACCTTATATAACACACAAGAGAAATCAAAGTGCAAGAGGACGGCCTACCGTGAACCTTGAGGAAGGACGTCCACGCAGGGTCGACATGAGACCAAACCAGATCAGAAGGATCATCCTTCACCCGTCTCAGAAACTCACTCAACAACGCCAAATGTATCCGTGAAAGAAATTTTGGCATGGAAAATGCTGCCATGAATCATCCGCCATTGCACCAAAGAAGCTAGACCGGCAACCCGACTAAAGCGGAGGGCAGCCGTCCTCTGTTTCCACTTTGCTGGCTTGAACGGCACTGGCACATCCTGGACCGTGCAAGCTGATGTGGAAGCACCTTGGAAGGCTTTCTGAAAATTCGTGGCGCTACTGGGCCAGATGGGACCAGTCATGGGCGCTTGCTCATCAGACCACTCCGCGCCAGGCACGAACGCGTGCACAGAAAAACCCACAGAATCGCAGCTCTCTGCCGCCACCTGCAAAGCGGGCTGGTACACGATACTTCGTCCGCCTAAATAGCTCCCTGGCTCCCTGGCCTTGGCGGCCTCAATGGTCATGAAGCCGGATCCGGCCCTTTCAGCTTGAATGAGCCGTTAGAGCTGTTTTGCATTAAGCAACACATCCTGAGAATAGCGCTCAAGCTTGGGACCAGCCAGGAGGTGCGACTCCTGCCTGTGCCAAGATAAAGCCTGACATGGGCAACCATGATTTGCGGAGAGGATTCGGCCAATAATTATGGCGCTTGGGGCTTGGCGCAAGCGTCTGCAGGATTGAGAAAAGCCCTCCTGACCTGTGGATGGTCAGGTCTCTGCTCCGTAAATTGCATGCCGTCCTGAGAATTCGGCCAACTTCACCAAGGGATCATGGCCACGCTTGTCTTGAAGACGGGGATTGGCACCTCAATAAAGCCACTTGCTTAGGCATTTTTCACGTTTGCTAGATGAGATCAGTGTCTGGCGTCGCTCGAGCAGCAGTCTGACCTTGCTTCCAGAAGCATGCCGCAACCGCAACCGCGCAATTCCCAGGCGAGGAGGGCACATCACCACAAGCCCTCCTGTTTGTTGACGTGACTGAACTGAACTTGAAGCCAGGCAACTACGCGGAACGTCCGGCTGTGGCAGGCCCAGTGGAGTGAGGATGTACCGTCTGAGCCTGACACAGCAAGGCGCCGCACTCCCTGCTTTGGCTAAGCTGGAGAGCACAAGCTTGCCAGATGCGCTGCAGCGCGCATCCACGTCTGCACCACGGTCCAGGAGCAACTCGCACATAGCAACGTCTCCGGCCTGCAAGGCACAGGAAACTTTTCTGTACAAATCTGACTCTGACACCTTCGCAGCCATGACCAGTGGTGGGATGCCAGTCTCCGGATCGGTGATCGAAGGGTTTGCCTGCTCTTTTGGATGGAGCGCGCCCACTCTTTTCTCCAGCTCATGGTCTTTCCCGTGCCTTCTCTCTATCCAGCAGCCACTTGACAAGCTCGATCTAAGTACAAGCAATCAAATGCGCACATCCTGGCTTCGAATGTTTTCTGCTATGCTAGCCAAGCCACATCTCCATCCTTAACCGCTTGATGAAATTCCTTGCAGGTGGACTCCAGGCTTCTCAGCGTTGTACGGAGAACCTACAGGGAGTAACCGAGAGGACCCCTAGCACAGACTCCACGTTCATAGATCCACAGCTGGGTTGTCCGCCTCCTTCTCAGCCAATGCGCAGAAGTCTGGTAAGTCCCCAGGGTCCTGACGCATGCTGTTGGTGAAAATTCAAGAGAAGCGGTCGATGTAAACAGCTGCGTCTTCTGATGAGCAAGTGTGCCAGGTCCTCCAGCTCACATATCTTCATGGCTTCATCAGCAATCCTCAACGACTCGCGCACGGCGTCGCCTCACACGTCACATGGCCATGGCTCTTTGGCTCCATGCGTGGCTGCTATGGCCTCGGTCCACTTCCGTCGCCAGCGCAGCCTGGCCAGCAAAGCCGCTTGTCACGCTCAAAACACAAACTTGCCTCAAGCACCTGCAGACAGCGCCGCACTGCCATAAACAGCAATGCCTGGAGCCCGACAGATCACAAGACTCGTAGATCAAACCCCCAACCTCTGCTTTGCGTCGAAGCTTACTGTCTGCACCTGAGCCCAGAGTCTCCAAAATACACACACCAACTGGCTTGCCGAGGCGATGCCACAGAGCGTCAAACCGCAAATTCTGGCATCTTGCAATGTCTGCAGCAATGGGTCCAGAATTGGCCTCAGTCACACACTCGCAAGGTCAATCAATGGTTCCAGGAAAGCGGGTACTCCATGGCAAGATTACCTTGGTCCTGATTTGTACAACCATGCTAGAAAAAATCGATGCAGCACGTAACACTGATTGCACAATCGAAGCATTGTGGATCCACCAGCTGTGTACGCGGACACCCAGGCACCATCCAAAACCCATGCAGGTACACCACTGGACGTCTCCAGCAGCTTGCCACCTTGCTGCCTAACAAAGCTAGGCAGCTAGGCCAGATTAGCAGCAAGGCGTCTGGCCCCCCTGCCTGCATTATGTGATTGAAATTGTCTGCGAAAATTTTCGAAGAGAAACCCATGCTCAAGCTCACACATGCATGCTGTGATGTCATGCATCTGTCTGGGGAGTGAGCCCCCAACCTCCCTGAACTAGGCAGGGTTCACACACACACACACACAGAGACGATGGGACATCATGAATCATGATGACACACAGGCACAGTCACTAATTGCCAGGAGCAGCGCGCACTCATGTCCCATGGCCGGGAGGACCGCGTGAATTCCTGAAAAACGCTTCAGCAAGAGCACTTGCTTTGCTGCAAAGATGCAGCACAAGTTTGACCAAAAGGCTGCCTTGCTGACATCCATGGTGTCCCAATACCGTGCGGCACCAGGAGGCCTGGCTGCTATCAATGCAACAATGCCAAGACATTTACAAGTAGCAGCACTGGGCCACGGGCACTTGCGATGCAGCTGTGCCATCCCCCTCATTCAGGAAACTTTGTGAACATTGCACAATAAGCTGCAAGACTCACTGGTATGGTCCAAGCGGGCCCCAAAGCTGCCATGGCAATCACCCACTGGAGTCTCTCCTGTGCCGGAAACAATCAAGTTCAAAGCTCGCAGACCGCTTTGGGCCTTGGAAGCTCGCCGGGCTCGGGTAAGAAGATTCAAGCCCTCTGCTTCGACTCCTTTCAAGGCTCACAGCAGGCTGCAGGCAAAGCATGAGATGGTAGAACCCCGGCCATGCACCTCGAACGCGCTTCTGGCAGTCTGGTGTCGCAAAGACAGGACCAGGATCCTCGAGCAACATAGGCTTGTGCTTTGCACGTTTGCCATCAAACAAATAGAAAGCCAATCGAGCAGCAGTGGCAGCCGCAAGGCTTGTGGTCGCTCGCGCTCTTGCTAGCACTACACGACTACACCAGCGACGATGAGGGCATTGCCACCATGGCAGCAGTAGCAGTAGCTGTAGCTGTGGCCACTGGCAGCAACGTCTGTTAGTTTTGGTTTGCTGGCGGTGCTGAAGCAGAAGTGGACTTAGCAGGCAGAAATAGCAGTGGCAGTAGAAAAAGCGGTGGGACCAGCAGACGGCTTCGCTTATGACTTCTTCGCAAACAGTTTTCAGCATGCCGTTCTTGGGCACCCTGCCCTCTCACCGCGAGATTTGAAGCGTGCCCGCGCCCTGTCACCTTGATTGCGGGCGACAGCAACCATCAGGCAAAACAGGCAAAGGACAAGGACAGGCTAGACCCAGGACTAAGCAGCAAGCGCTCCGCATAAACATTCTCCAGTGCAAGTCGATACTCCTGGCGGCCAGGCAAGGGCGATGAAGAAACGGAAAGCTGTGAAGGCTGCCTTGACTGCAGATGCTTCCAGGGCTGCTTCTACGCTTGCCTCAATGCGCGAGAGGGTACACTCGGCGAAATGGCATTAAAGGTCTGAGGTGACTGCAAGTGCCAAATTCATTGGGCAAACGGGCGGATGTTCCCCACCATCTGTCACGACCCATGTATTCTGGTGGGCATGCAGGCACGAAAAAACAAGCTGCCGAGACCGTCAATCTCGTAGCCAAAAAATCGATCGCCACATCCATAAGGACAAATGTCTTCCCCTTGGTCAAGCATATCCCCAAGTTGTACTGTTGACTTGCTTCACGGAAATTGGTAGAGGTGGCAGTATCAAAAAAAACGCTCTCAAGTCTTACGAAGCGGCGATTTGGACACTCGTTGGCTAGATGGCGAGCTGCTTCCTGCCAGCTGTAGCAGTTGCCCCGACTCACGAAGACAGGGCCAATACCAACCCCTACTTACTAACGAGCGTGAAAGCTAGATAGCAAGAGAGGCCTTGCCAGTAAGGAGTGCACCACAGTGTCTTGGACAGCGGCGGTGCTCCAAAAAAACCTCGAAGCACCAAGAATGCATGAGAAAAACCGGATGCCGCACGGCCCCGAGTCACGCACAGCGCATCTTGCAGTCTCAATGAAGTCACCGATTCCATTATGCTCCATCCATTCGCACTGTTGCTTTGAGTGCGCAATGGGGTTTAGACTCCTAAGCCCCAGTGTGGCCTGGGCAGCTCTGGCGTTCATCCAGCGAACAGGTTTAGGCTGAAGACTGACATGTTTGCAGCTACAGTACCACAGACTACACCTTTCAGCCTTCCTAAGGCCGTCCATATCATGACTGTTTCTTTGTGGCAGGCTCCTGAAAGGATGGCCGCGACAGCAGTCTGTTGCCTTCAAGTGCGGTTCCGTTCTCGTTGCTTCCAAAGTTAGGCGTTCCCGTTTTGAGAGTCAACCATAAGAAGAAGTATGCTACAATCACTATAGTATTCTTGAGCATAGAAGGGGGACAGCCTCCTTTTGGAAATCCGCCTTTGGTTGCACATCAAGTCTTTTCGTGCAAGTGCTGGCTGCACACATTGGTACAATCCGGCACACTTGTGAGGTCTTCCACACAGTTTATGGAACTATGTCACCTGCCCCGAAGGTCCACAAGGCATGGTCCAGGCAATGTACTGCGCTGATCACCACTTCCGCAGTAGAGTTTGATGCCGCAATGGAGGAGTATGGAGGCGCCATAGTTGCCGGTTGGGCTCGACTTGCAAGGACAGACCTACTTGAAATGAAGCGCTCAGCTTGATGCTCAAATCCTGGTCCCAGCAAGTGCGAAGACTCAGCAGCATCTCTTCTTGCCAATTTTGAAAGAAGGGAGCAGCAAGTCAGCTGTAAATAAATTAGCGAGCCTGCGATTCCACACCTTGTGTGGGTTCCATGGCAGAAGCACGATGCCCAAGCGCAGGTTTGCTTTTGGGGTTCAATTCAAAGATATGACGATATGACTCATTGTCATCTGAGTTCTTGGGCGACTCTACAATGGTTGCGCACGTTCCGTCCTCACAGCTTTCGGAGAACGGGATTTGCTGAAAAAGGCGTCACTAACAGCGACAGTGCCATTGCCATCCTGCGAAAGGTGACTGGCCATCAAAGGGGCTACTGGCACTTGGTATCAAGTGTGGACTTTCTTGTGGACCCCTCATTCAGGCTCCAACTTCGGGCATACGCAGCATCCAGCACTAAAGCTCTACACCTTGGCATTGGCAAAGCTCATCGCCTTTCAGTCTTAGAAAACCATCCAACATCACCAAACCGTCGAATCAGGCCTGGACCAGTTTCTTCTGGTGTTTAGTGATAGTACTGCCCTGCAACATAGTCGCCGGACCCGCATCCCTTGTTCTCGTGCGCACAGCACCTGGAGGCACTCAAGCCATGTATCTGAAGCCAGCTCTGTCAAGGATGCTGAACACTGAATAAGGAAGGTGCCATGACTTCTTCGCTTCGGACCACCCGGCTTGCCAGTTAGAGTAGCCCGCCAGGCAGTCAAAGGGCTTTGACGCCAAACATCCAAGCCCAAAGTTGCTGCAGCACCTGAAATCCCTAATCTGCCACGATGTTGCCACTGGATCATCACACTACAACTATAATTTGGCCACAGCTGAGACCGACACCACTCCTTCTTGTGGGGTGACCATCCAGCATGCCAGTTGGCAAGTCCAGCATGGCAATCAAACTTTGACACGCATCCAGTTCCTTCATGCTGGCAGCACCTTAGTGCGTTGTTGGTCACCAGATGGCTCCCTAAACTGGGGGCGCACTGGGGCGTCCACCAGACTTTCTTGTTTGATGACCATCCTGCCTTTGGGTCAGTGAGGCCCACAACACAATGGCCCAAAAGCAAGTCGCGGTGTCTGGTTTGATAGGGCCTTCCAGTTGGACAAGCCTGCTTGACAGTCGTAGGCTGCATGGTGAACGTGATAGTGGTAGTCGTGGTAATGGAAATTGCAGCCTTGGCAGCACAATCGATCCAGCCCTGGTAATTCTGGCCGCCCCGGTTGGCCTCGCCTTTGCCCAGGTGGAAGCAACACCATGCCTCAGCACGTAGTGTGCTCCTGACACATTGAAAGAAGTGCCAGCACGCGCGCCTTCTTGTGGGGAGACCATGCACTTTCCCACTGGCCGTAGCCACGGTCGCAATGATACAGCTCCACCGGAGCATGGAAGCAGGCCACATCTTAGCATATCGATGCTTCATCATGTTTCATTGCAGCCTCCTAGTTTATGCACTGCACGAAGCCGACAATGGGCCCAAGGCGATACCGTGCACAGCACCATGCTCGCTTGTGCTCTGGCCAGCCTCGTTGCTCAAATGTTCAGACTGGGAAAAACTTCTAAAAAATCATATTTCCACTGCAGACGGCAGACTTGGCATCGAACTGAGTCTGTTGTCATAGTCTTCGTGGCAATTGTATGAAGGCTCTGCCGTAGTGGTATCGTTTGACGGTGCAGTTGGCGGCGGCTCGGGGGCGCAAATGCCCTGCGATGCTCGGGCAACGCGACATTCTGTCTTTCACCACACGCACTCAAGAAGCCCAGTGCCCGCCTGCGCGTTGCAGCAATAACTTCTCTTTGGAATCAGCCAAAACCTTTAAAGCAAGAAGCTGCGCGGGCGGTGGACATCCAAACGGCCAGCTTCAGTCCGCGGCTTTGAGCTTACTTCCTGATAGAGTTGGGCAATGTCACCTCAGCCAAAAGGAGTGGACTAAGGGAGTCAATCTGCAGAATATCCAGGCTAGGCCCGGAACTGCTAAAGGACGCTGCAACCTTGGTCACGAGCAATGCCAACATTGCCTTGCTTCTGCAAGGTCTGACTTTGAGGGCTGCACGCTGATCAAACCCGCCTGGAATTCTTGGCCTAGCCGGGGAGATGAACACTACGATTGGTATGGCTGACATGACCCACAAAAGCCCGGGGGGTGCACGTGTAAGTGCCCCGTCTCCATTTGCATCTGCTGCAAAGAGCTGCTGCCCGAAGCGGTCTTTGAAGGACCTGATAGAAACAATCCTGGAAAAGCGAGTGCAGGAATGTTGCAAGGGCAGAACCCGTCCCGCTGGAGAGTTCCGATCTCTGACTTGGTGACCAAGTGGTCCTTGGAGCATGCTAGACGTCATGCGTGAACAAGTTCAGTGATGCTAAATGCGGTGCCATCATGACCAACGGCGCTCGAAAACATCAGGCGCATTTTTGCAGCTCTGAAAACGACTGCGAGAGCAGGCACGGCTTTGCGAGCCATTCCAGACCTGACGTTTCGTCGTGCAGCATGTCGATGAGCTATGCTGCGTCATGCGGCACTGAAGCTGCAGCCGCTACGGGCGCGCTCACAATCAAGAGCGATTAGAGTGGTGAACAGGCAGCATGCGTCCAGAAGCGAAGGAGAGGCGACTTGATGCAGCATCTGCGGGCACGTCACGTATTCTCTCCATCTGGCTGAGCCTGACACAAGCCAAGCTGAATCATGAGAGCAGGGCATACAAATCTTCGAGGTTTTTGGAGTTGAAGGGTTTCCTTACAGCTGTGCTCACTATACTCACTGTGTAGGTCAATGGTCTGCCAGGAGCAAAACTTTTCAGAATCTTCCGATCTCCTACATGTGACCACCAAGCAGGTGTGTGGCTGCACCTGGTCATGGTGGATGCTGTCTGGAGAAAGACACGCTGAAAGCTCTTCACGGCGACTTTGCAGTTGGGGCATCTGACATCTGGATGAAGAGACCCATCGGGCAGAGCATACCGCAGAGAGCACCTGTAACAAATGAGCAGATGCCCGCAGGGAAGGCACATTGTGTTCGCTGCAACATCCCGACAAACCACGCAAACGCCAGCGACAAGTCCAGTTGTCGGATTGGGCTGCGGTGCTCTCTGTGTATCAATCATCCGCGGTAACTCTTGATACTCCACTTCACGCTTCAAGCAGCATGTGCACACACGCTGGCCCATTTCAAATGCACAGCGCGGCCATGGCGGGGCAGAAGATGACATCACTGCGAGCCATGAACCGCAGCAATCACAGCTGGTTCCTCATTGCTGGACCATCTGTCATTAATTGAATTTCTTCCTCGAAGGCTAAGAACCCAGCTCCGTTCTTGTCGGCCAGGAGCCAGGCCTCAAGCAGAACGTGACCAGCACCCTGTCGCAAACGAAAGCAACACTTTGAGACTTTCAGGCTCCAGCCCCATTGCTCCATAGATCGGATCCAGGAGCACCAACGCGCAGCGCCTCTGCAGCTCGACTAGAAGTAGCTATATAAACGAAATGCTGCACACGCCCGGTTGCAAAGGACAGCCTCAACGTATGCATCGATGTCCATCACGTCAGAAGAGGAATCCTTGTGCCAAACTCATGTTCTAGCTGAAGAGTGAGCTGAGGGACAAGTCACCAAGCTTTGCACGGTCTGGTTTAATTCGCTGATCGCCTCTGCAGAGAAAAGGTGTTGTGATTGCCACCTTGGCGTGGCAAATGCTTCCGGGCATCTCCGTGGGTGTTTGGTGAAAATCTGAGGCTCTGCAGGGCAAGACTTGATAATGGCAGATAGCCATCACCATCCACATCCAGCACTGCCCACCTGCAGATCTTGCCGACTACAAGTAGCATAGTCCAACCCTCACGGAAGGAGCTCTGGGTCTCCGAACGACTCGAGGATGATGGCAGCGCCTTCAATGCAACTTCGAGGCACGTGTCATGTCAACGCATGCGCGCAGCATCTGGAAGCCTGCAGCTGGCGCGCCAATGGGCGGGTACTGACATATCGGCTGACCCCTTAGGACGTAACAGAAGGCCCTGTGTGGGCTTCTCTTTTTCTGGTGGCACGATGCAGCTCTCCAAGCCAGCAGCACGAGCGTGTCTGCAGCTGAAGAAAGCACATCGCTGCGAGTTCTGGCAGTACTTCGACTCGAAAACTCCAACAAGGAACCAGGGTCTGGGAGCATGCGCCTGAAGAAAAGGAACCAGAGCAGCAGCGGAACCTGAACAGCTTCAAGCTAACGAGCTAATGCCCTGAGGCTCTGCTGCCGCTTTAGAAGCTGAGTGCCGAGCAAGTACGAACAAGCAGAAGCACCCGCAAACGCCGACATATATCCTGCTTCGGTGACTTAGGCAAATACTGGCAGGACCAGATGGTCAGAAGCTGCGGGTCTCCTGCAGGGACCGGATGGCCGGGCTACGCGTTCCTTGATGAACTCGCCCTTGCCTTCTCCAACCTGAGACGCACAAGCGCCGCAAGCACTGCCCGGCTCTGCCCTTGGAGTTCCTGATCCGGGCATGCTGAGGGTCAAGCGAACTCTAGCTTTGTCTTCTCTGCCCAGTCGCCTCTTCCTGGCAGTGGCAGAATCTTTGCGAAGACCCTGAATCTACACATGATCACTCAACCTTCACTTGGTCATTCTGAGTGATGATAAGTGATAGTATGGGAAACACCCCCTCCAGATGCAGCACATCGCGGCAGCTGAGAGATTTTGACGCTGCCATGGCTTGTTGCAACTATGCCTTCACCGACATAGGTCCATGTAAGAGGACGCCCTTCTTCGAACTCCTCCTCCACACAGTCACACCTAAGTTCCGAAGCAGGGCTCCATCTGCAGAGCAGTCTTTGGCACGGGCGAGGCAAAACATGCATCTCAGGATGCCGCCCAGCCATCCCTGTCATTTTCAAGCAGTCGATTTTTTGCTGGCAAGGCATCTACAAACGAGATTCACGTCCTGCCTCTGCGGCTCCTTTGCCAGGCTGCCCCCAGCCCCCCGGCTTTCTCAACCGCACTGCTTAGAGAACGCAGGATAGCAGCCGGCTGCCAAGTTCGCTATGTTTGCTCCCTCTTCCCTCTTGCAGTTTTGTTCCACTTCAAGCAGTCTGCATTAAGTGTGCTGCACATGACTGCTTTTCAACATGCGAGCGAAGCGTTCGTGCCATGGCTTTGCATGGCAAGACAAAACTAGTGCAGGCGCACACAGGTTGGGCAAGCTGCTTCAAACTCCTGAAGTTGGCTCTGGTCAAAAATACACATTTTCACTTCTCGGCGAAGCAGTCGACTCTGCCCCAGTGCCGGCAGGGATTGGAATGCAGCATCCAAAGAAGCAAACGTCATCTTCGGGAGGTCTTTTTGGAAGGGCCCGGCAAAAATACCACCTGAAACCGGAAGAAGGCGAAGTTGTGCTGCATTTGAGGATAAAAACTCCTTCAGGATACGCAGATATGCTGCAGTCAACTTCTCCACAGCTGGTGCTCGTGTCTCAGCAGTGGAGACTGAGGCATCGTTGAGATCCGGACCCACTACATGTATGACTTGCTTGTGCCCGTACTTGTGCAACTTGGCATCACCCTCCCGGCGCACTTCGCGCCTAACGTCAGCAGGAAATTGGGCATTTAAACCAATCTTCAGCCACGAGTAGATTGCCCCAGAAGCTGCCCCAGCACCTGCTGGCCCAAGGTCCTGGATGAATCGCAGACCAGCTGGATCAACTATGACAGTGTGTTTGTTTGGCCCAGCTGCTGCCCGCACAAACCTGTGGGAAGCGTCAAGCTGCACGCCCAGAACGCCATAAGGAGCGACCGTAACCTTTGGCAACAAGGACACCTCTTGCAAACCTACCTCCGCGTTGGCCAAAGCATGGGCTCCCCGTAAAGCCAGGCGCGAGGCTGAAGCCAGTGCAAGGAACAGAGCGGCAACTGCAGCAACTGCGGCCATCAGCAACCACCCTGAGCACCCCGAGTACCGCCGTGAGCACCCCGAGCAAGCGCACCCCGGAGCTGTGGACAGCTTCGGCAGCTGCTTGGGCAGCTCGGGTATTAAGCGCTCGGAGCCGGAGCCTTCGGAGCCTTCGCCCTCGGCTTCACCGTCATGGCAGTCATGGACCATGCTGAGGTAGTACAGAACGACTTTGCGTTCCGCGCCCAGGAGAACAGGAAGCAGCTGGCTCTGAAAGCAAACTGGGGGGCGATGTATTCAAGCTACACCTTAAGTCTTAGGCAAATTCAGATTCAGCATTATTCCTTACGTCAGGTCTTCAGCTCAGATGCAGCCAAACAGCAAAAAGCACAAGAACACATGACATACATTGACAGCGTGGCCATGCTCGCGGCAACATCATCAGCAGCACGAGTTTTTTGTGGTCACAATTAGTCACAGAAGTAGTGTGAGCTGTAGTACGAGCCCTTTACATCAGCGGGTAAACACTAGTCGTCATCGAAGTCGGAGCACAGCTCTTGCATATCCATTGGAATGCATCGTTGCGCGCCGCAGGTTGCTCTTTCAAGGAGTTGCCTGTTGCCTACAAAAGGTTGATCTCGATCCCGAATCTGGGATCACCACTGCAAGGGCGACGAGACTTCGGCCACTGCTGCTGCCGCCACAGCCACTGAAACCGCGACCGCTGCTAATTGCTGTTGCTACCGCAGCTCAGGCCATCTCCTGCTCCTGCTCGTCCTGCTCTTGCCGTGCTCCTGCACCCCCACCACCAATCCAACTTCTGCTGCAGCTGTGGCCTATGCGTACTCCTACTCCGACAACGATGATCATGGTAATGACGACCACGACCGCTGCCATGACCACCACAATAACGACCACGAACGTGACCACAACTACCTACCTACCACTGCAACTACTACTACTGTTGCTGCTGCTGCTACTACTACTACTACTACTACTACAACTACTACTGCTACTGCTACTGCTACTGCTACCTGCTACTGCTACTGCTACTGCTACTGCTACTAACTACTACTGTAGTACGACCGCTACTACTACCTACTAAGGACTACTTATTCTTCTCCTCTTCTTCCTCCTGACGCTTGAAACAGCAGCAGCAAGAGCAGCAACAGCAGCAGCACTAGCACCAGCACCAGCACCACCAGCACCACCAGCACCACCACCGTTTGTGATATTAAGTAAGTGTTTGTTCAGCGCCAGCGCCAGCGTCCAGTACCACCACCACCGACACCACCACCACCACCACTACCAC